ACTGCTCTGGATACGAGACAGAGCAGCTGCTGTCTGGCAAGCTGGTCAAAACAATTGCCATAGAAAGAGCTCTGCCCCAGGAAGAAACAGTCACTACAGATCAATTGCTGCACAGTAACCTGGCTGGAAGGCAGCCACAAATTAGACTTGTCCCCTACTACAGTGCATTTACCTATGACCTTCTTTTGCCTGGTGTTCCCTGGCCTCATATCACATGGGAAGAGTCCATGTTGGGTATAAAAGGAGGCCAGGAATAGCAGTTGGGAGCTATTTCTGCCTCTTGGTTGCAATTAGCTGTGATGGGATCAGCCACATTTCAGCATGGTGAGTGACAGGCAGCAGAGATGTAGCTGCTGCTCTAGGCCCTCTGCGTGTGGATTCAGTCTGTCCACATATGGGTCTGATCTGGAGCCAGAAGAGGCTGAGAAAAGCTAATCACTGTTGGGGACGTTCTTAATGGTTGGTGCATTTCTTAAATGACAAGTTGCTTTAGAAGTGCTGTATATCCACTCTCAGAGATGTAACGTGCAAACGGATACAAAATCCACACTAGGGCCACCTGCTGTTCGGTGCTGTCTCCTGCAGCTAAACTAGCTAAAATTCAAATACTTAGAAAGTATTATCTCACAAAGATGCCAGATTACAGAAAAAAATCTGACCATATGACTCTCTCGTACTAAATTTTCGTTAAACCTCTCTAAAAACCTTACTCTTTACAAGCTATAGCAGCAAATGTACTTGTACATATTCATATACAGGGAAAGGAGAGGACTGAAGCTAATAGCCTGAAGGCTACTAGCAAGAAGAACATGCCAATAGGAAAAAAAAATCATGTACTGTATAGTATGCAATGACTTCTAGTGCTAATAATAGGCAAGAGGTAGCCATTCTAGGTTTCTGATGTACAGAATTCCAAAAGTTAAGCTGTTTTAAAATATTTTCCAGGCTTATACAAAGCAGGTACATTTAAATTCATTATTGCATTTACACACAGAATTCCTCTGTCCATAAAGGCAGGAATCCATGCCTTGGTTCTCTTCAGCACTTACATTGATCTATTTAGTTATTCTTAATAAAACTTCATAGTTCTTGTTAAGACTAATTGCTGAAATGCTGTGCATCTCAAATGCATAACAAGAACAAATCTGCTCCAATGCATATATTCAGAAAAAAAAAAAATTACTTATTTTGTTTGACAGTTAAAAGTAACACGCTTAATATTTGCAGATTTTTTGTTAAGGGCTTTAATCTGTGCAAAGTTTAATGGAAGATATACAATTATAGCTCAAACAGCAATTAAGACGTACTGCAAATAACTAAATCACGTGCTAACATGCCTTAGCACGTACAAAGCATTTATGAAAAGGCAGAAATGCCTCAGAGCAGAATGACTCACGGAAAGATCACTCTACTCTTTGTTTCAGAGGAAGTCTTTCCAGAAAAGATATACAAAAGTAGCAATTCCTAAATACTGTTCTAAGCCTATACCTACTTTATACATTGTATCCTAGCATTCACTTATTGCTATTTACTGATCGGGGTTCAGTTTTTCAGGTGAAGTCAATCATCACAATTCATTAATAAATGTTAGGAGCAGGATGAATCACTTTTCAGAGAAACTAAATCAGTACCAAAGACTTAACTGACCTTCCCAAACCCATTCATTGCAGAAATATATGTTTCAAAAACCATAAAAAAAGACAATTTCAGATAATTAAAACCAACTTCTGAAACAGATGGTTAAACTGAAGGATCAGCTAAATAAGATTAAATATTACTATGAGTAAAGTCTGCATAATAATTACTTTTTTGGTTCTTAACTGATTTTGGAAGAAAGCAAATGAGATCTTAAGAGACCTGTTTTTTATTGTTGCTGTTTTTTTAAGATTTACACATGAATTAAAGAAAAAAAACAAAAGTAATATCTAAGTAAAATCAATATGAGTTACAGTGAAATTATTTCTCTTGCACCCTTACAAGTTCACTTTACAAACCATGTTCTCGGTTCCCATATATCACAACTAACTGCACAGCAAGGTCTACAGACAACATAAGCTTGTACTAATTATGCTGATGCTTGTCACTGTCAGTCTCTGTCTGTTTTTTTCTCTTGATAAGTGCAGTCTGAACAAAACCACATTTCATAGCTATGTAAAATCTCCTTGGACATATCAATTCTAATGGGGTCTTAAAAGCTTAACAGTCTTCTAAAAATTATTCAAATAGTCTAGTTCCTGGTAATGTAAGGGCTCCTAGTCATGTATGGGCTGTTCTGTTTCTTTGATTCATACCATGGCACCATTCCTTTGAAGCATTACTAACCCCACGTGGACTACATTAGTGGCAGGCTTCCCAGGTCAAAACATTTTAATTATCACTGCAATATCCAGAGCCCGTTCCTCAGCGATAATTTAGAGCGAGTCCATAGTCCATGCTCCTCCCTCTCCCGCTTCTGCTGCCTCCACTTCCTTTAGAAGAATCCGCATTTACCTGGGAATCCCTCATGCCGGAGCCCTTCGGAGTCACCGGGAGCGCGGCGCTGCGCATGCGCCACGTTCCGTGCGCTCCTTCAGCCCCTTCCCGTAGGGGTCCTCAATGACCCGCGCCCTGTGATGTCACAGTCGCTATAGTAACGGGCGTAAACACTCGGAGCGTCCCCTGTGGCGGCCACCGATAGAGGCCAGTTCTGGATATCCCTACGCCGTGCGGGACACGGCAATGATGTGAATAAACTCTAACGTGGCAAAAAAATCATGCATTTCCATCCCTCCTCAACATATTTACAAGAAAATTGGTCAGAAACATTTAATATGAGTTTTAATTTTCCGTTGTTGAAATTTGATGTAAAGCCTTTTCCTGTTAACCCTACATTTTAGTTAGCATGGGCTACTACTTAAAGACGAGGTTTTTCATAAGACCTAGGCAACACTTTCCTCCCTTTTGTCTGCGGCCACTTCATCTCTGAAGACTTTCTAAGGGTTCCCAATGCCAGCCAAGAAACGTCTGTGTGTATGGCCAGTCACCTGCGTTGCTCGTAGGGATCCACAGCTTCACTGCAAGACTCTCTGGGGCCTGGAAAATCCAAGAAGTTGAGTGCTACTCTAATACTGTACCTTTTTATCTCTTTACAGTAGCTATCAAAACTTACTAAGTAGTTACGTGAAGAATCTAATTAACCTCCCTTTTAAATCAAAGTTAGCAACCTCACTGATAATTATTATGTTCACCTGACTTTAGGAATATTTTTACAACTGCACAGAAACAGCAATCTGACTGTGCAAGGTCGTAAGGTAGAATCTGCCTTAAATGATTAATAAAGACAATACATTAATTCCTTAATCTGATTCCAAATGTAAATCTTTGCTTTTAAATGAGATGCTGTAATTTCATGATCTCTATTATGCTTGAATTTGTGTACTGGGCTAACTAATCATTAAAGATATTCATCTGCTGAAATAAGAGGTATATATTTATGAATTTGTTGATTCATTTTTATAATCCCTGAGATGTTTTCCCTCATTTTAGAATAAATAATCCAGTAATCTTAAAGTAGATAACCTAATGTAGAAGACTAAATTGGCAAAGCAGTTTGTTTATGGCAAAAAGCAGATTTCAGCAAAGCAGTAGAGTCTTCTTTCCCACTTTGTTAATTATGAATTTAGTTATTTACCCTGAATTACAGATTGGAGAACAGGACCTCAATGCAAGAGCTCCAAAGGAGTCCCTCCTCCTGGTAAATAAAAATGGATACACTGTGGCTTGTAAATGACAGATGTTGGAATAAATCTGCTTTGGTGGTAAAAACTGTTTGAGGAAGTTCCACAGAATACAGCATGTTCAACTAAAACAAACACTTAAAAAGACTCACAGCCAACGAACTAAAGTTTGTGAGTCAAGGAAGCTGCCAACTCTAATTAATCCATTGCCCACTCAGAGAGTTACTGTTTCAAACAGTATTCATGTGTTGTATTTGATAAAACATTTAAATGTAAACAAGTTGACAGGGTTTGAACAAGCTTTGTTTTTCTCTTGGAATTTAAAGTTGAGAAAAGCTTAGATCCTAAAATCAGAATTGCTCACAAGTTGGTGAGACCATTATAGTGGTCTCTGAGTTTGTATGGTCAAGCTTTTCAATCTTCGTATAACTCTCTAAATTAAGATGTATTATCAGCGTTAAACATAAAGGAATAATTTCTAGTTAACCAGTATCATACTGCTATGGATTTTCAAATGAATTTTATAAAATCCTACTATATAGTTTAGAGGCATATTTACGAAAACATCTAAAACCTCTCCGAAGTGGTAGTCAAAAGATTCTGCTCTTGCACAAGCTGTTGCCAATAAGAGGAGAAACCAACAAGCAAATCAACCCCAAATTACTGAATGGTAATTGGGAATAGTGCTGAAACATCTTTTTTTTTTTCAGTGGGAAGCAGGATGACACTTACAAAAGCACACCGGGGAAATCTTCTGAGTCCACATCATGATAAATTACTCTGTACAACTTCCACTGACAACTGTTGAATTACATGGTCAAGTCAATAGACATTCCACTATTTGAATAAGTAGCTGTAGTATTTTTTTTTGTTGTTGTTAAAAGAAAAGTATGTTTTGATGTAAAAATCGGGGGGGAAAGCTTTACATAAAGGTTTGTAGAGGATATTACAGAATATTCATTGGCTGTCAGGAAGCGACCTGATTGCCGATTTCAGTTCGGTTCCTTAGCACGGTGGTGTCCGAATCCTACACTCAAAATCGGAGGGTTTGAGAGCTCAAGACAACAGCGAGGACCTTTTAGCAAACACCTCCTCAGCAGCAGGCACTCAAACCACCCTCTGAACAACACGTTTCACATGAGCGGCAGACGCGGAGCTCACTCAACCTTCCTTTTATAGCAAGGTGCACAAGGCAGCGCTTCCTCCTGTCAACACGGGGCCGCGCACACCCGCGTTTAGCCCTGGGGGCTGCTGTGCTCCCGCCGCCGCGCCATCACCACGTACCATCTCGATGATCTTGGTCTTCCTGCCCGTCTTCTTCTTCATGGTGAAGATGTACTGGGCGAGCACCACGCCGCCCACGAGCGCGCACACGCTGGCGCTGGCCACGGCCCCCATCTTGGCCACCGCGGTCCTGTCCATGGTAGCTGCGCGGGGCCGCCACCCGCCCGTCGCCAACCGCCGCGCAACGGCCGCAACGGCGGCGCCGCGCGCGCCCTCCCCCCGCCCTTCGCGGCACGCGCCGCCAACGGCCGGGCGCTCGTCACGTGCGCGCCGCCTGCCGGCGGTTCCACCGCGGGGCAGCGGGGGGGGAGCGCGGGGAGTGGGGCGCTCCCAGGAGGAGACCCCAAGGGCAAGGAGCGTTAAAGATTTCTGAGTTGTGTTTAAATAGGGCAGAGGCGTGTTGGGAGGATGTGTGTGAACTCAGAGGCACAGGGAAGGCCGTTACTTCTCCCACGTCTCCTCTCCCTCCACCCCTAGAAGCAGTGGCAGCGCCCAACCGCCCTGGGCGCGCGCCGCTTCCGCCTTCCCCGGACTACAATTCCCAGCGGCCGGCGGGGTGGGTGCCCCACCCTTCCGGTGGGCGGGGCCGGTTGCTAGGGCGCCATGACAACGGCGCTGAAGATGGCGGCCGCGCCGCCGCCGTGGGCTCCATAGCAGCTCCTCGTCCCGTGTCGCCTCCGTCCTTCCCGGTGAGGCGGCCCCGCGCGGCTTCACCCCCTTCTCCCGCGCTCTTTCCGTCCTTCCCCTTCATTCCGGTTGATTTGGCCCTGCCGCGGCGCGAGCAGCGGCGGGGAGGCGGGAGCTGGGGTAGCGCAGCGCCCGGGGCCGTTAGCCGCGTTTCCCCGCGGCCTGCCCGCCGCCTCGTGCTCCCCCAGAATAGCGCGATGGGGCGGGAGCGGGCGGCGGAGCGGCGCCCCATCGCGCCGAGCCCCGCGGGCACGTCGGCAGGGCGCCCTTAAGGCGATTACTGCGGGCGGTGCCGCCAGAGGCTGCCCGTGTCTCGAGGGACTTTTCTAAAATAAGCTCCCTTAGGGAGGGCCTGCACCCGGGGCTGCTTTTTTTTTCCCCCTAATTCTCTTTTGTGAGAAGGGAAAGTCGAACTTGAAAATGTCTATTTCTTTTTGTTGCTTGTTATAGAAAGCTTGTAACAGTTTTTAAAAGAATTGTGTTTGTTTCTTGCTTGAGGGTTCTGTCATAATTGCCAGTGTTTATCACGAGTAGTCTATGAATTCATCACAAGAAATTCCTTATTTTCTTTTGGAGTGTACCATTTCAGATATCTGATACTTGATTAAGGGCTTCTCAGTGACAGTGGCGTAAAGCTAAGAGACAGAAATACAGCAACTGCCATTAAAGTTAAAGACCAAGTGATTTGTATGGAGTCATCCATCAGCGCTCAGGTGTTCACAAGAGTTTGCTTCCCTTTCAGTGAAGGAGAATGTCTTTGTTCAAAGCGCGAGACTGGTGGTCCACCGTGCTTGGGGAAAACGAAGAGTTCGACCAAGGCTGCCTCTGTGTTGCTGATGTTGATAACAGTGGGCAAGGTAAAGTCCGAATTAACAGCTGCTCACTTCTAAGCGACACAGCTGCGAGCTTGCCCTAACGTGGCCAGTGCAGGGCACAGCTTGTTAGCCAGACAGCTGGCTAGTTAGTTAAGGATCTGTTGCTGTTGTCTTCAATGTGCCCTTGTAGGTTTCATAACACAAGCTGAGCACTCCTGTTCTTGTTTGCCCTGTGTGTAGTTTTAGGTCTCCATATTTTAAGCCTTGTTGATCTTCCACAGTATTTTTTTTTTAACTGTTTCATATGTTTCTTTCAATGTCAATATTTGATATATCCTGGTAGATATATTTAAAATGAAAACTTTAAGTTAGTCATGGGAAGAAATATGTAAATTTCATATAAGCCATTGAACTTATGGGGGAAAAAAACAGGAAGGTGAGGGCTAATACATTAAATACTTCTATATGCTACGTATATTTATTTTTTAAATTCTCTTTTGTGCAGCAAAAAATAGGGCACGTTGAGATCAAGGTGCATTTCACTAAAGGAAGTCTTGCTCTTTTTTGTAATCACTAAGAGATTAAAGTGTAGAATTGAAATGATACATCTGTGACCGCGTTTTTACAACACTTAGTGATCTTTGCTGTCAAGAAGGGTTCTCATATACAAATATAAATGTTATTTACATATGTTTTTATTAGTTATAATAAATATTTAGAATGTTTCTTTATAGACTTTCTTGCAGCATCTCAGACCCTCTTTGCTCAGCAGAAGTCCTTGAGTAGGATTTAGTTTTTGCCAGAGTTTTTAAAAACTCTGGTCTTTTTAGAAGCGTTTTAACATAATCAAGCTATGCTACTATTTTCGTGTGCTTTTTGGATAGGAGTCAGCTCTTGGGATTATAGGTGGAATTGATTTCTAATGAGAAAGTAGGCCCTTCTTTCATACCAGTTACAAACAGTGTTGTGGGAGTGTAATAGTTCACTATTTTATTTACTTTCTTAACACTGTATTTTTTTCTTTTTTTTTTTCCAAAAGATTCCTTTTCTTTCAGAGTTCAGGACCAAAAGTAAATACAACCTTAAGGCAAATGATCATCTTCCAGATAAACTTATTAACTATCTTGAAGGAATGTGCAACTAAACTATATTTAAAGATAAAGGTTACACAACTGTTAATTTTCTGTTAATAGGTAGACTACTTATTACAGTGCAGAAGTGAGGCAAAAATTAGTGTGCAGAAGGCAGACAGTAACATCTGCACTAGGGGCTGTGGGGAGCAGTTCCTGCTGGAGAAGAGGAGGAGGAGGCAGCTGATCTGAACTTTTGGGTTGAAACCATTTCAAATGTTTAGAGTCTGGTAAATATTTTGAGTGCTGGAGAGACTTGTGGGGGTTGATTTTTTTTTTTTTCTTTTTTTTTAAGTAGTACATACTGATGGGTTCTTTATAAGATTAACTCTTCTAAAGCAGTCTTAGCAACTCAGGTTTTTGCATGATCCTGAAGGAACCATGATGTGATTTCCTTTGCTCCTCTTGGAAATGACAGCTCTGTCCCGAGAGCTGGAGGTCTTAAGGCTGTGTTGAACTGATGTAGTAATTGTATGAATTTAGTTTTTGTTTGGATAAATGATATGGGTCCCAGTTTCAAAATTTAGCACTTTTGATTGCTTGATAGGTTTGCACAGGTCCAACGTGTAGAAACAGGATGTTTGAAGTACTCTTAAAAATCAACATATGACTTTTTTTTTTAAGCAGTATGAGCATCAAACTGAAGCAATAGAATAGTAGCAATGGTTAGTGCCATCACCACAATAACTGGATCCATTGCCAACCATTTTTTGTTGTTGGATTAAAAATTTAATTACTAACATTAGTCTAGAAGACAAATCGTTAATAGAATCACGTGCAAGTATTTTATCTTTTTAGGCTATTCTTTGAAGCACTTCTGTAAAAAATCTGATTCTGTGTGTGCTGCTGTATATTTTAATCTCAGTTGTTTCTTTTGTTTTTTCTTTTTTATAGATAAAATTATTGTGGGCAGTTATATGGGATATCTCCGAATCTTTAGTCCACATCCTGTGAAACCTGGGGATGGCTTCCAAGCTGAAGACCAGCTCTTGGAAGTGCAGTTTCGAGAACCGATCCTGCAGGTGGAAGTGGGAAAGTTTGTTTCGTAAGTGAACAGGCTGTGTTGCTGATCAGGCTGTCTGACTAGCGTGGTCTCTGGACTGGGCTTCAATTTAAGTTTACTCCTCTCCCTGACAATGATTCTGTACATATTTCTGTACAGAAATACACCAATTTCTGTAAAATATTTAGGACAAAAAATTAGTAAGTGTTAATGGCTCAGGTGTGTCTTTTTTAGGAATTTCAGTTCTGGAATTTCACTTTCCAGATTGGCCAACCTATTAAAAATGTCCTTACTGTAGTGTGCATTTGATCTACTTGTATTAATATGAGAGCAATTTTTTGCTTAATATATAGATGGAAGGGAATCTTCCAGATTTTCTTTTTGCTTGTGTTTTTCTTACTTTTAAGAAGCATAGAACAGGAAACATAAGTTTTCACAACACCTAGAAAACTTGAAGAGCAACCTCTTGTCAAGGATGTAGTTCTTCACCAGTTATTCTACATTTGTCAGAGGACTGAAGAACTTTCATTTCAAGGAATTTAATGAAACAAGTGCATTAGAAGAGGCAGTCAAGGAAAAGGCTTTTTATTTAATCGGATATAAAATAATCTAATTTTCAATTGTGTGGGATTTTTGTGCATTTTTTTTTTTTTTCTTTTTTTCCCTTTATTTAAAGATTCTCCTCCTGTATAATCATGGAAAAGGCTTCCGGAAGGAGCCCTTTTCTCTAGAGGATCATTATTTTATTCTAGTACTTGTGGAGTGTCCCAATGTAGAAATATTAATGTTTTGCTGGATTGATTGATCTAAAGCTCCCTTCTGTAGTTAGAGCATGATTTTTTTTCCTGCTGGAAGTACTACTACAGGTGGTGTAGGAGGAAGATCAATATGGGATTCAAAGAATAGTGACTATGGATGTGATGTGGATTTTCTATGTGTGGGGGGACATTTTTTCTTTGATTTATTAATATTTTCTGAACAGCTAACACTGAAAAGTTAACAGTATCTTGCATAGTGTCAAAATACATGTTTGGTGTAAGAGTCCTCATATCCATTTAATTTTGGAGGAATTAACGGCACCTTGTTTGGAATGAATTTCAGGCTAAACTGGAAACATAATTAGCCTACTCTTCATACTTAAATCTGGAAGAAATGTTCTTTTCAGATTTCATTTTAATTTTGAGATTACCTTCAAATACTGCAATATGAATTTAAGAAGATAGTTAAGTGTGCTGGGATTTTCCATTTTCCTTGGGGTCTGGTTCACACTTGATAAGAAATTATTGGGAAACTTTATAATAATTTCAATACCTCACTTGAATTTAATCCTCTTTGCTGCACTCTGCTGCAAACTAATAATCTGTATCTTGTTTCTTCTTTACAGTGGTACAGAAGTGCTTCACCTGGCTGTTTTGCACTGCAGAAAACTCTGTGTGTATGCTGTTTCAGGTGGGTTTAAAGGCATACATCTTCTAGCCCTTTTAGGCTATTCTAAAATTGGCTCAGATTGAATATTAAATTTAATAGCAAGATGGTTTGCTGGTCACACCTGAATATCTTAGTGGTGTTTTTAAGGGTGTGTTTGAGGAGGATGCATTAGTAATTAGGTCAGAATATTTCCTGATGATTAAAGGAGATCTGTTTTGCTGCTCCGTGCTTAAGCACTGTGATTCATGGTATGCAGGCCACAGTGCAGAGTCTTGCTCTGCTCTTTGCAATGCTCGAGCTAACTGGCAGATAGATGATGTTGATCTGACTTAAGAAAGTGATGAGTCTGCAGCTGAGCTGCTCAGAAGTTAGTTACTAAATAACTAATCTTACAGTGTGTAGTGTCAGCCCATAGAAGTTCTAAATGCACCTGTCCAAATGCTCCAGTACAAAAATGCTTGTAAGTAATGGCTTTTTACAATTTCAGAAACAAGTATTCTGCATGCAGATGAATAAATGGCTATTTAGGGACAGCCTACACACCCACCTTTATTTTCTTTAAGCCATTTTTATAAATGTTTCGCAAAAATCCACATAGTTTCTTAGAAAGTCAGAAGACTGGAAACAGATCTTAAGAGAAAGTAGGAGGTTAGGAGTGGTAAGAAGGTGAAATTACTGCTGTGGTTTCGTGATGGTAAAAACTTTTTTTTCCTGCTGTCTTTGACTGGAAATTCTAAATGATACACAAGAACTGTATGTGAACAGGCAGGTCACAAAATACCTTTTCTGTGCCTCGAGGCACAGAATAGACACACGTAATAGGCCTGGTAAAGCCGTGATTCATCTTCAGAATTCAGTAGATTTAATCCAGTTTTGACCTTCCTCATGCAGTGACAACTGTGGCTACTTTCACTCTGTGTGCATAGTTTTCTTACAGGAGCAGCTTCCTACTCATTTGAGATCCTCACAGGTTACAGATGCATGTTTTTTCACATTCTAATTGCCTTCTAATTATCTTACCTAGGGATCCCTGTATAGTTGGTTCTCTCTAATGCTGCTTATGTCCTGTTGCCTACTGATGTAATTTTTATTAGAACAGCTTAAGTATTTTTATTAACAGCATATAACAAATAAATGAGTCCAGCGTTTACTTAGATTTTAATGAGGCATTTGGCCTACATTATTTAAGCATTTTGGTCATAATAAAAACCAAGTTTTACAATCCTTTAATTACAATACAAAATACGTGTTGTTATATGTTACAGATACAATTATATATTATAATAATAATTGTCATAAGCATCTTTGTGATAATGGCAACCCTCTATTATTTGAACAGATCCTTTTGAGCAAGCTTGTTCCAGAATTGAAGATCACTATCTCTTGCTGCTTCAAGGAGATAGCACTGCTTTTGTAAAGCAGGCTTTTACCTGACTTATACTTGTTACCATATGCTTGCTGTTGATAGTAGAATAAATTCAATATGTTGTTTCTTTCCCTGGTTGGTTGAGAGCATCTTAGAAGACTGCTTAGAGTATAACCTGCCTAGCTCATGACGCCTGCTTTAGTGCTAGTATCTGGAAATCTGTGTAGATTTTTAGTGGAGCAATTGCCTAAAAAAAGTTAGTCTAAGCTACAGATATTTCTTAGAACATGAAGATTTGTGTTGAAATGATCTGTGTATACCTGAGCATTGTGAGAGGATCTAGCATAGGACCATTTACTCAAGCAATAGATGGCTGCTTTTCCTGTGTGACTGTTGTTAAACTTAATGAGACTTTTAGAGAATAATTTCAGTCTTTATGGGAGAGATGTAGAAAGACTTTTGACTATCAAAAACCTTTAAAACTTTAAGAAAAACTTTAGCATCTTTCAAAAGACTTGGGATTTTAGTTCCCTGAAAGGATCAGGAACTTAAGATTCTTGCAGGTGCTTTTTGAGACAATATGACATTTTAGAAAAAAAAAAAAATCTATTAGTCTATGTATATATCTCTTATCCTTGCATTCCTAATTGCTGCACTAAAATTCAGAGCAAGTAAAGGTGATAGATGTGTCCTAAAAGTAACTTTTCAAAATTGACCTGGCTACAGCTTAATTTGAGACACAGGCTGTTACAGCTGAGCCTCTCGTATGGATGCAGTGCATCCACTGAATACACTGGCTAACTAGGGAATCAGAAGATTCCCCTTCTCATCACTGGTGTCAGTTTGAGGTGTACTTGACCTGAGGACTGTATTTAAATTATAGAATCTCTGTCTGTCTCATGCTAAGTTTTATACCACATTTAGTGTAGTGCAACCTTATTTCTGGTTCTGGCTTTCAGGTGCTGCTTTGGGAAAGCAGCAGTGTCAACTGCCACGTGTCAAAGTCACTAGGAATAAGCTATGGGTTTCGAGGCCACTCTAAATTTTTTAATAAATTCATAATTTTTTCTCCATTTTTTCATACTGCATGAGTTGGAGGGGTATATGTGCACATATACAAATATTTTTTGTGTGTGTACATGCACATATATACATCCCTTCTCTTTTTGTAGGAACGCTGGGAAATGTGGAACATGGGAATCAGTATCAGATTAAACTGATGTATGAGCACAATCTTCAGCGAACTGCTTGTAATATGACTTATGGACCATTTGGTGGTGTAAAAGGTAAGCTCCTTCCTGTGTAATCTTTGTCATTAGTTGTTTAACTGAGAAGCTGAGTGTTATCTTCAGTTTTGAAAAGCTGTGTGGTACTGTTTTCCAGAGAGAGACCATTGTTTAGAAAGATGGTCTCAACTTGTGCATATGTGAAAAAAAGAAAAGAGGGGGAGGACAAAACAAAACACTGAAAGTGAGGCAAAGGATATTAAATGCACGATAGTTCTTTTCACAGCTGTATCTTTTGAGAACAGGATATGGGTTTACAGGGTTGTATCACTGACTGAGAGGGAAAAAAATTAAGAAATCCCTTGATCTTCCCTTGTAAAATATTTTAATATGAAAATGATTGTGTTCTTCTATAATTTATTCTGTTTTGCTTATCCCAGACAAAGCAAAATCAACATCTTCATTCTCTGAATCTAAAATATTGAGTGTTCTTAAAAATACACAATGCAGGCTTTTTTCTTTTCTTTTAAACAAAAGATTTTTTTAGTTTGAAAGCATAACAATGGAAAAATGATATTTATGGTGTGTTTGTAGTTTTAAATAAGCTTAATAAATTTCAGTTTCTGAACTTCTGAGACACAACTGTGGGTGCTTTCTTTGTGTTCCAGTCTGGAAGCAGTTAGGTTTGCTCAACATGGCAACTCTTTCTCTTCAGAAGTCGTTTTATCCACAGTATCGGGGGGTGGTTTTCATCTGCACAAACGATGTCCCTTGGCTGTTGGTGGCTTAGGACAACTTTACTGAGGCAGAGTAATATTTTGAGTCAACTTAGGCTGGTACCTGGGCTTGAATGGAGCAGACCAAACCTCGGACAGATGGAGGAACCTGTGGCTTACTCGTTTGGATCAGCTTGGGGAAAATGGTCAATGCTGGCTCTCTGAGGGCACGAGTGAGCAGCGCTATCATGAGTATCTGATGGGCGAGGGTGTAAGGCAGGGGCACGTTCCTGTTAACAGCAAAAAGAGGATCCTCAGTTTCCCAGGAAGCGGGCTTCTACCTTCCTGCAGTGGAGCTGCAGAAATAAATGTATTGGGGGATCCTGAACTAAGACCAATTAATGTGTCTGGAATGGAAGAGCAAAGGGTTTTTACAACTGTGCACACAGTTGTAAACTGCACACACAACAGCGCACAAGGGAACTGTTCTGCAGAATAAACTGTCTAGATCTTCCCGTGTGAAGTGTGTTCTTTCACTTGGAGATTGTGGGTCGTGTTCCGACCACCAGCTCAGCATTGATGCCAGACCTCTAAATGCCTGTGAGAAGCTGTGGAGGAAACCACTGAGTTGCATAGTGAAGAAAATATCTTTGCAAGTTAGGAAGATGGAGGGCAAAGTTTGCTTCAGAACCAGCCGGCTTTTCAAAGCCTTGGATAGCTAAAATGAAGGCCAGTCTTTGGCAGGCAGAGCAGCAAGAACATGGAAAGCAACTGGTAAGTCCTGAATTTTTCGTGTCGCAGCATGTCAAACTCTATCCCTTTCCCTTTCGTCTTTCCCATGGCTACAGTTCGTGTTGGTTGCCAACGCTGTGGAAAAAGGATGGTCTCAGGTGTTTTTTTTTGTGGAAGAATATCAGTGGGGAAAAAAAGGTGCAGATGTGTTATATACTCTTTATTTTTATTTAAAGATGGAGTTTTTCTATTTAAGACTTAAATTTGAGTGAAAACACAGTGAGTTCTCTGTTCAGTGTCTGCCCTTGGGTTACTAAGGCAGACAGTGAAGAAGGAGTAATGGGCAAAGTGGACATGGGAGAAGAGCTGTGGAGTGGAGCAAACCGTGTTCTGCTGAGTGCTGCTAACCTCAGTAAATAGGTGCCTGTCCTGGTTGGCTCTCCTGCATGGTCTGTGTCTCCTGCACAGGTGTTCTGTGCTGCAACCGAGAGCCAACAACAGGCTGTGAATAAACAAACACATTTAACTTCCACTGAACTTTCTGGAATTCTCGCCAGGCATCTGCTAATGCTCTCCCTCACCTCCCCTAGGGATGAATTCCTGATAGTGGCAGTGCTGGAAGGGCAGCAAGAAGGCTGCTCTGCCAGCAATCTGACCTATGCTGGTCTATACCACTCCCTGGAGAAAGCAGACTCACCAAAAGGACAGTGAGGCTCTTGTGTTTATTTCCTGCTATTGCTGTAAATAATGGGTCCTCATTGCTGTACTCAAGCATCCTGGGGAAAAAAAATGAGGAGGTGAAAGAGGCACTTGAGGGCTCCTGTTTGCAGAGCTACTGGAGCAGACACAGAAGGCTGGTGGTCAAACAGGAGGAGCACATGGAAAAGGTGCTGGGGGAGTGTCAGGAGGAAGGGGGTGTATGCAGATCCCCCAGGAACTTGGGTTTTCATCTGTGGCAGCAGTGAGGAATGTTGCAGGAGTTGTCAAACCACTTGAGCTATGAAGTTGCTCTGTCTGGGTCAGTTTTTTCTTGTTGAAGATGTAGTTCCTCTGCCTCTCCCCAACATTTTCCATCTTAAAAAAAACCCAAATCCTATGCCTCTATGGTAGTGAAACACATCTGACCTAATCATACTATTTGCAACTGCTAAGAGAAAGCAACACAGAGTTGAATTAATATGCACTGCTTCGGACTGGTCTCCCGAGACATATTTTCATTATACATATATGCTTTGAGGTTCTTTTCTCACTTTTCTTGGAACTACGATTTCTTTGACTCTTTGGGTTCTTTTTAACGTTTTGTGTTTGTGGAGTGGGTTGATTTGTTTGTTTGTTTGCTTTCTTCCTTATGGTTGGCTATCAATTTCATAGAAACTGAAGAAAATAATCAATTCACAACTTTTTGTTCTCACTCCAAACAAAATATTCTCCCTGTGGCACTGATTTCTATTGTGATTAATTAAAATTTGTATTCCTGTGCCCAGAGGCAGCCTGCTGTCTGGTAGGCCACTACTGTTGTGGTCTTAACAGGAGTACAACATGGTCTGTTAATCCCATGATGCTGTAAGGATGCATAGGATTTCTGAAAATCTTGTAAAGTTGATGAATAATTTACATTTGCCATTCCAGAGTATCCCATCTCTCCTGGCCTATATGGTAGATGGCCACCCATTTCTAGAGCCTGATTTTGGGGAAGAACAGGAACATGTTCAGTATTCCTCAAGGGGCTTCTTCTCCACCACAGCATCTGGTGGGTAGGAGGTGTGTGGAGCTGGAGCAGAAGCCTGAGGCTGGGTGGCCAATGTGGAAGTGGCAGGACAGTTCCATAACCAGGCATCAAGGTATGGAAAGGAATGGAGTTTTGTTCCAGTTTTCAGTTTCAGAACTTAATTTCTGAATTGCTGGGAAATCTGTTCTCTCCTTTAGATCTTTACCAAGGCTGAATAGGCAGAGAAATTTGTTCAAACGTGCTTTTAGATCTCTCCTTTTTTTTTTTTTTTTTTTTTAATATATATTTTTTTAATGCTTCTTAAAGTTTAAAATTTGTTTCAGATTGTAGTGGAAGAGTCTACCTCTACAGTTTACTAAGTGTCTTGCTGTGCTTAGGAAGCTCAGATTTAAGGAGAAACCACAAATTCTTCCTTTAGGTGTTAGCTGACCTCTACTCCTTTCAGAACTTTTCCCAAGTTAATCAATGTAGCTGCTACTATCAACGCTCTACTATTGCTTTTATGGTTCAGTTTGGTTGTGGAAGCTCCCTAGTCTCTTTCAGCTATTTCACGTTAAACGTGTGCTTATGTAAACCTCTCCCCATTCCTGCAGCCCTCCTTCGTGTGCTGCCTGGACTGGATAGGAGTATTTTTCACAGCTTCTTTTAATGCCCTAGTTGGGGAAGAATATCTCTGCAGTTGTTTGAAATGTGCAGGCATTAAAATCGAGCATCCTTAGGGGATAGGGATTGCACATTATATTTTGGCATATATATACATGCGCCAAAATACTGGCATATTTTGCGTTGATTTCAGTGTTTTATTTCAGGAAGGAGTTGCAAAAGCGGATGGGTCTGGGACTCCCGTCTGGAGCTGACCCTGGTTAAGGCTCTACAATTCACTACTTGCACCTGCAGGTGAAAGAGAGCAAGTGTCTACAGGATCCAGTGAGAGATCTTTCCTAGTGCACCTTGAGTTACACAGGAAGGATGTATCTGCATTGTAATACATATATTTTTCTTCTTATACAACAGCAGAGCTGTTGTGATATCATATCTTATATAGTTTTAGCCATGGGCTCAATTTGATTGCCCTGGGTCACTGCATTGCCCCTTGCCCCCACGCTGCACAAACCGTAAGTATGTATGTTGTTTTTGAGGACTTAAGTCATAAGCCTGTCAGTGTTTGTATAGATCATCTCACTGAAGTGAAGCTATTTCTGAAGTGCTGTTCTTCATGCGTTGTGCTACTGTAACAATGTAAATATTCATGTTTAGGCCAAAGCGTGTCCTATATTATTTCTTTAATAAATTAAGTCCTGTAACTTACCATCTGCTTACAAATTTCAGTTAAATTATGCCTTATCTTAATGTTTTTCATGGTAACTTAGTCATCTATTGCATGATATTAAAAATATGCCAATTGAGATATCTGTTATACGTGAATTGAAATAAGTCTGTTTCAATAGTGCACGTGTGTCTCCTGCCTTCCCTCCAACAAGGTTCTTCCATCCCTCTTTCTATCTTCTCTCTCCCCTCCAGAAAGAACCATGTGGGACAGAGGCTTCCTGTTTGAAAAGCCAGTCTTTTAGGTCCTTGGCTGAGTAAGTTGGGGGAGGAAGCTGCTTCTGGAGGACTTGGTTTTTTTTTTTTCCCACTGATGGTCCTGCATCCTCAAGCTCCTTGTCTGATAAGTGTAGTGATGGTGTTGTGCTGAAAGCGCTTGTCAAAAGGGCAAAATATGCCCAGGACCTGGGAAAGAATCATCAGGTTCTCATCAACTTGCACTAGAAACTTTTGTTCTCTTTTCCTTGTTGTGTTATGATTTGGTTTGTTGATCTGCGAAGTGAGCTGTGATGGGTAAAACCTACTGAGAACAGATCTTGGTTTTCAAGTAGTTATTT